AGATAGACAAGCAGGACTATAAGAATCCCTTAATAAGAGTCGAATAACATAGGATATAAGTCGAAAAATATTAGAAACATGTCCCAAAGAATTTAATTTGTTTATTACGTCTCATTTGAATTCTGAAGCAATAAACTGTTTAGTTCTCATCTTTGTTTTTTTAATTTCAATTTTTAAACTTAAAAATGCCACTTAGTGCTAAGGATGTTGGACGTGGTGTGGCACTTAATAATGATGGACGTTCCATCAGGTATGCGGCTATTGCTGTGGGAGTTCCCTACGAAACTCTGCGAGAAGCCGTGAGACGTTTTCAAGAAACTGGGTCCTACTATGGAAGGCCAGGTTCAGGCTCCCTAGCGTAACAGAACCACAGGATGACCGTTTTTTGACTTGAAAATTTTACGAAACCGGCACCTTACTGTTGTTCAAACGATTCATCAGCTCCAGGAAGTTCGAGGTGTCTTAATTTCTGATCGCACTGCTGGAAGGAGATTAAATCAGTATGGACTGATGGCTTTTCGCCCCGTAAGAGGACCAGAATTGACCAGAACACACAGAATTACACGGCATATGCGAGCTCGAGAACACGGTCTTGATCTTTGGACAATCTCCAATTGGGCGTGAAAGAGTGTGGAGAAGGCGAAATGAAAGGTACGAAGCCTGTAATTTTTCCCAGAGCCAACCTTTTCAACGTACCTCAGTGATGGTGTAGGTGGGAATTTCAATGGAGAGTTGCACAGATTTGGTTGTTGTTCGTGGAGGGTCTTTGACGGCCACTCGCTATGTGGATGAAATTTTGGAACACCATGCGTTGCCTATCCTCGATGAAATCAGTGACAATCCTATTCTAATGCACGATAATGCCCGACCACATGTCGTTACCATAGTACAAACGTACCTACCACAGCATATCATCAGGGTCTTAGCCTGGCCAGCCCGTTCTCCAAACTTAAACCCATCGAACATTTATGGAATAATCTCAAAAGATGAATAAGAGCACGTCCATCACTTCCTGATTCACTCGACGATCTTGAAAGGTCTCTTCGCGAAGAAAGAGTTAACCTCCAGCGAAGAAACATTTACAGACTGGTAGAAAGTATGCAGAGAAGTCTTCGAGATGTAAGTCAAGAGGAGGAAATACGCGATATTGAAATGTAATTCATAACTTCTCTGGATTTTATAGGTATCGTAGACATTGAAAAGCATGATTTGTAAACGAGCGCCTACCAAAACTTGTTTAATTAAAATCGGTCATCTCACGTTTGCAGCTTCTTCTTGTAAGAAAAAACGCTAGCAATCTTGTTCGCTCTACTCTTTGACATTGAACTTATTCAAAGCAAACTCTAAAAGTGCTTTTAAACCGAATTCGATCAATCTTGCCTTTTCAAGCTGAGAGAAAGGGTCCCTGTGACATTTGGTTAAAATGTCAACGCTGTGTTGAATGTTAATCCGTTCATTCCCATTGAAAATAATTGTTGAAAAGTGCTAGGCCAAAGGGCCGTTATCATTAATTAACACTTTATACTGCAAGAGCTTTTAGCGTGTTGGTTCAACTCGAGATACCGTTTTTTAATCCTTTCAAACTTTAGAATCCGTGGTGTATCACGAATAATAAATCCCTAAGAGGGTAGGAATTATTTTTAACACATGTATCCTTTGCTGGACCACAGTGTTATTCAAAATTGACGATTTGTAAATAAATGAAGCAAATTTCATAAATGGTCCATGACCAAGATGGAAAATCGTCTAAATTAGTTCAAAACAATAAAAGAAAGGTTCTTGGTAGTCTTTTGCCTGCCTCTGTCCTAGGATGTGGTTCTAATACGTACGAGTCTGCGACTTGATCCATTCGGCACTTCCTCCTATTTTGTGGTATTTATTAGAAAGTTTTTCAGGAAGGGTTCCTGGGCCTACGGGTGTTGTTGACTCGTTGCCAGTGTAAACGTCAGGGATGTGTAACCCGTTGTATTCGTAATCATACACAATTAACAAAGAGTATATCAATTGTTGTTTCTATTATAAACTAATATTTTTATACATAAAATTTTTATATTTTAGCTTTTTTTTAATTATATGATTTTTATATCAAATTACAAGCTTGTTTATAGATACATTTTTAATGATTTAAAGGAAGAAATTACCAGGACCGTTGTAATAATTGAACATTTGAATCTACAATGTTCATTATATTTATTGAAGGTAAACATTTTGTTTAAAAAAGTTTGTTATGTTGTCCTGGCTGTTCCGAATCTTGCAGGGTGTAGCAGGAAATGTAACAGACTTTGTTAAAAATTTAATTTCAGATGTTGCTCAAAGGAGCAAGTACACGAGGCTGGTTAAATCGTTTTAAAGTTTCCATCTGTTTTTTTTTCACCATTTTACAAAGAATAACTATTAAATTCAATTTATCACCTTGAAGTGATGCTAAGACAATATTGATACATGTAGTAGGGAACTATGACATTGAGAGTTGTTGGTACGATTACTATGAAAGTGCGAAAATGATTGATGAAGACCATCAATTATCCATACTGAATGGAAAGAGTATGGATAAGTTTGAGAGGGTTGTTGAATATATTAAAAGATATTTAATCAATTAAGATTGGAAGAATTGTAGGCAAAGTTTGTTGTGTCGAACATAGATTTTTTGTAACATTAATTTTTTAGTGTACCATTATTTTTTTTAAATTTTGTCAGAAGATATCTTGTCAAATATTAAATAGATTTATTGAAGAACTATAAAGTTTAAGAAAGAAAAATGCAAAAACTATGTAGCCAAAGTCTTGTAAAGTGATTTATCTTAAACCCGTCAGTATGATGACGGTCTCATTAAGTTGGCCGGAACAATCCAGTTTTGCGTGCCATGTGCTGTATAAATATTCAATTTCCAAAATTAATTATAAGGCGCGAGACATGACGGATCAATTTGACGCAGAAGAGCTGAAAGAGATCCAATATGAAATGGTTTTTCAGCCAGATTGATGGTCTATTTATTTATTTATTTTTTGCAAAAGCAATGCTCTCTCTTTTCAACTCTTCCTTATTTTTCATTTATAAATTTTATATTTAGGGCACTACTAAAATAATAATGTTGTCTTATTATTATGTAAATGGTTTTATATAGATATAACCAATCCTATAATAATTCCTACTTTTTCAGTAAGTGTTGCAATTCTAAAAATGTTTTTCCTTATTTGCTGTAATCAAAATTATTTCAATATAAATGTTAAATATCCAAATAATGTCCAAATAAGATATTAAATAATTAATTTACGCGCATGGCTAATAATGTCTATTGTAAAGTATGAATTCAATTCGAACCAGTTCAAATTAAGAGAGCGGCAACGTAAATGGTTTTGTTATGTAAAGGATCGACCACAGAACAAAGATTGGAAAAAAATAGTTGTTTGGCCGATTTTTCGGGATATATTTTCTCTTTTCATAGAACCTATATTTGTGTAAATATTTATATCGAGTTATTCCATTTTTAAATTACCTATTCCATTGTTACTGCAAAATTACTTACTTAGAAACTCTCATCCACTATTTTATAATAATTTAACATGTAGATTTGATCTTTTTTATGCTAGTCTAAATCTGAATTTTGTGAAAAATCATAATTATATGTTACTAATAATTCGTGTCAAGTACTGATATAAAGACTACTCTGAACAATCTTACAAAATATTCTTTAAAGTATACTATCACAGGCTGTATAAACAAAAAGTTAAAAGACACCAAATGGCCGAAAGCGAGTAAATATAATAATGTACCAATTCCATTATTAAATATTCCCATTTTTGGTTATATGAGTATAATAAAAGTGAACTTAAAATGGCAAAACAATTTAAATTAACAATTACTATTATTATAAATTCTAAGAATTACACATTTTATTTACACACTATTTACACATTTTATAAATATGAGTTTGATATAGGTTAATTGTCGAGGGGCCCCCTGTTTTCACCTTCTGTGTTTCTCAACCAAAATTAATCCTTCATAAATATCACTTGTTTTTACACTTTTTGTTTGCATATTACAAGTTTGGCGTCAATTTTAAGCGTAGAGCTTTTTTTATTATTTCTGGTTTCCTTGTTATATCGGTCTATACTGTTGGTGTTTTCAAGTTAAACTGTTGGTTTTGTCCATGACAATGTTTCCACAATATATAGGTGCCATTCCTATCCGGGTAATTTCAATCCAAATAGTGTTGTTGTTCGCACAAATATAACCAGTGTTTTGTTTGGCCAACATAATAAGTGTTATAGTATAAATAGCTGAGCCTCTATATTTGGATATTTCATTTGTAATACATGGTGCTTTCAAAGGAGAATACAACTTATTGATTTTATTCTTATAGGCATTTTTACAGTAGGAATTTTTGGTATTTTTGTAAAGTTTTCTCTATTTTCTTCTTAGAATTGCCAGTTCATAAATTTAATTGGCAACATTATGTATCTTCCTTGACAGTTACATTTAAAGACATTTTTCTTTTACCGTTATATTTCATCTTAAGGCGCGATGTTATCAAACGTATTCGAAAAGTTTAGGCCGCACCTAAGAGATACATAGCGTTGGGCCTAGCCTCAAAACGGTTTTACGACCGAGCCCTGTACGAAAAAGTCAAAAATGATTTAGAATCTAAATGGGGTCTCTTTTTTATGTTTTTCCTTTGGAACCACGGCTACAAATCTTAATGCCATGAGATCGAAATCGAAGGATTCTGTTTTATTTCTCTCTCTTTCATTTAAACCGATCAGTCCTGGGTGAAATTGGACGAAATAACATATTCCCTTTAGCTTAATTAAGTTGATTTTTAGTTTAAAGGAAACCAGACTCCGCGTTTAATTGGGGCTTGTCCTAAAACGACAGCCGGTATCAAATTTCCAAGAAACCAGTCCAGAAATGTCCTTTTAGCAGTTGGAACGCCCTATATTTGTAAAAATAGAAACTGGTAGGCTTGTGAGCATTTTTGACGTTTATCATTTCTGTTTCAGGATGGAGATGCACGTGAGGTGGCGGCATCACCAGCTCGGCCTTTTAGGCTACCTTCGGCACATGCTGGCTTCAGAAGCGTTTGTCGATGTGACGCTTTGTTGCCAAGATAAAAGGCTCAAAGCTCATCGCGTGCTTCTGTCAGCATCAAGCCCATATTTACAGGTAAGCGAAACTTTGTAATTTCTATTACTTACAATACATTAACTCCGCCGACATCTTCACAAAAGCAATTTTGTGCTTTTAAAATCTCTATTACCATTTCGTATATGTTTTTAATAATTTTAATCGAAACCATCCAACATTGGCCATCCGATTTTCTTACTTTCAAGAAATTAAATTGAAAGTGATTGGCTACCTGAAAACAAAAATTTTTCTGGGTTTTGCATAAATGCAGAGAACGATTCTTCAATTTTTAAAATATAAAACATGAGAACAATGCATTATTGGTTTGATTTTATTACCTATGTTAACGAAATAAAGGAATACGTTCAGAAGTTCTATAAAATGGATTGAATGTTTTAAATGTAACGTCGTAGGATGTTGTAGTAAACGTGGATGAATTGGAAGCGACGTTGTTAGAAGTAAACGGCTCGTTGGATGAGAGGCAACGTGCATATTCTTTCCATGACGAAGGGAACCCCGTTGCATGTCCATGTCAAGCTGAGTAAATGGTTGAATAGTCACTTTTTACAACGAAGATTATAAGCGTTAGGAAAATGCTCAAATTGAAAGGAACGTCCAAAATTTGCCAGCCCAGGTTGATAAATTACACTCACCCAGATCTTTTCTCCAGTTTTATATATCTAGAGTAAGTAATTACGGAAGCGGAGATTTTATTATTGCTTAGTCCACCGATCTGGCTTAATCTCTTCCATTACTAAGAAGACTAATTTATTCTAATCATAATAAATCTAACGGAAAATGAAATAAAGTATGAAAATTCCTTTTATAGTATGGTATAGTTAAAACGTTTTCCCTCTTTCACGACCAAAAATACTATGCGATACTGAAGACTAACGACATTAATAAACAGTGAATTTTAACATATTTAATTACTTTTGCGAAAAAGAACTAAAAGGGTCCAAAAATATATTTTTCAATGCAAAAACACAAACCAAATAAGGTATTATATTTCATTATTCAAACTGTATCATCTCTGAAAATAATAAGTCATTAATAAAATAAAACATTGAGGTTGTGATCGAGGTTGGGGGTGTTTTTAATTAAACAGTAGTTCAGCCAAGCTTTCCACTTTATTTGAGATCATCCACAGGGACCTACATAAAATGAATCATGTTATTCTATCAGTGTCTTGAAATGTATGTTTTTGATGTTCCTATTCTTCGTACTCAGGCCCTGAGGATGATTTCAGAAAAAAGTCGAAAGCTTGGCTAAAATGTTTTTGAATGAAGATATATCCCCAACCTTAACCACAATCTTGGTCACTAGATCAATACATTTACAACTGTTGGTCGATTCTATCAAGAAATGAAAACATATCTAATTATAGTTCGATATAAATATAAACAAAAATATAAAGAAATTTTATAGCATGTTACATTTTTTATGCTTTCACTTAAAGTTATTATAAAGTTTATTATAGTTGGATAAATAAACACTAAATGCTTTTATAATTAATTATTTTAGGTAAAATTAAAAAACAAATCAAAATGAAATATATCGTATAAAACTTACAAAATAAACAATTCTTGCTTAGGTGGCGAATGCCCTAATTTATGTCCTTTTTGTTCTTTCTCTCTCCATATACCATTTATCTATCTATATATTATTATTATTCAATTGTTATTGATGTATTTGAAAATTCGTCTAATCGTCTTTCTTCTTTGAAGGGGGAACAACGAGGGGCTAAAATGATCGACTCTTAGCCTGTTCTATTATGATTTATGAGGCAAATGCACTTTTAAATACCGGACTTACTGGTGTTATAAATTCCCTCATACCAACTTGTATGAACCATTACTCATGAGATTTAAGGCGATACGACGTTGGAAAATACGAATTTATTACTACTAAAGACGAAGTGAGTTTGAAAGTAGAAAATGAATTCCACCGGATGTTACAACTAAATAGAGATGGATCACTTTTAAAGTCAAGTGTAAGGTCGAATAGGACTTTCTTTCGATTTATTAGTTCACTTATTTCGTTTTATTTTTTGTACCACTTATTCAAGTAACCTTACATTTTTTAAGTTCTAGAAGATCTAAAAACTGAATTGTCATTTAAATTCACCGACACTTTTGTTGACCACTTAATGTTAAATATTTTATACACTTTTATAATGAACAGAAAGTATGGAAAATGGTTTTAAACTATAGAGTATGATAAGAGCTTGTAATTAAAATGTTATTTTAAATTCAAAAATCTCTATGTCTTCACGACATTAAAATAATAATTAACTTGTAACACAATATCAAAGAATATATAAGGAAGTCATCCAGTAATGTGTGGGCTGACTGAATGATGCATGAGTAATTAAGTGAATTGAGGAACGGCGAATGAACTGTATTGACAGTATGAACAACAAACGGACAAAAGAAGAAAATTACATACAGAGATAAGGAGAAAGAAAAAGGGAGATTAGAAAGAAAGGGAAATCGAAGGAAAGCAAAATAGTGACAGAAAATGAAAAGGAATAGATTGACATTATTGCTGATAGACAGATAGAGAGAGTAAGAGAGACAGAAAAAAAGGCACTTCATGCGGACAGGAAAGAGTGCAGAAAGAAAGATGGAAAGTGTGTGTGTGTGTGTAAGAGAGAGAGAGAGAGAGAGAGAGAGAGAGAGAGAGAGAGAGAGAGAGAGCGTGAGAGAGAGAAAACGAAAGTAATGAACAATGGAAAGAAAGAGCAATGATAGAAAGAGAGAGAGAGTGAGAGAGAGAGAGAGAGAACGTGAGAGAGAGAAAACGAAAGTAATGAACAATGGAAAGAAAGAGCAAAGATAGAAAGAGAGAGAGAGTGAGAGAGAGAAAGAGAGAGAGAGAGAGAGAACGTGAGAGAGAGAAAACGAAAGTAATGAACAATGGAAAGAAAGAGCAAAGATAGAAAGAGAGAGAGAGAGAGAGAGAGAGAGATAGAGACAGACAGACAGACAGACAGACAGACAGAAATAAAAAAGTAAAAGGGTAAAAATTTGGCTCATTATCAGATACTAAAGAAGATGTACGTTTTTGGTCACAATTATCTAATCCAAAAAGCTTATCGAATTTAAATTAAACCCTCTGTTCAGTCGAAGATTATATTATAAAGAATGAGTAATTACGAAAGTATTATTTGGCTTAGGCATTAGTATTATGGCACAGTATTGAATCACATTGTTTACAAAGCATACATTTACATTGCAAAGCTATTTATTTACGCTACTGGACAAGATAGCTCTGGAATGCGATAGTGGATAAATATAACTGACAAACAGAGACAGACGTATTAGGGAAAGATTCATCACGTTAGTTAGCAATTAAACACTTATTACGAGTATTCACATTGGTTTTAATAATTACTTCGAACTAAGTAGGTGAGGATAAATTTGGTTTACTTGTTGATTACAATGGAGAGTTACTGAACTCTTTAGTATATTATTATATTAAACGTCCATTAGTGTTTTTAATAAAGTAAATGAATTCGTTTTATATAGGGAGGGGGGCTTAACGTCCAAACCATTGGGAGTCGTGGATGTGGGGTCAAACCACTTTACAATACATTTTCAAATTACATTCAATTAAAATTCAATTGGCTATGCTGGGATTCGAACGTTGAACGCTAACTTCTCGGCCACTGAAGTCCCGGTAGTTCCAGTATTTTTTTATATAGCATGATATTCATATCCTCTATATTTGTGGATATACTTCATATAGTTTACAATTATTTTATTACTAGAACTTATGTTTAGTAGGCAGGAATTTGTCGATAAAAATATAAACGTTTTTAAGATTAATGAAAAGGTTTAGTTATTGGATTTTTTTATATTTGTTTATTATTTTTGTTATGAAAACTCCAGGATGTAAATAAGAAGCGGAGAGATGGTTGGTTTGAAAGACAAGAAAGCGTCAAGCAGATGGTCGCTGAAAAATGTTTTACCTCGGCCCAGGTTTATGCTAATTAATGCAACAGGCGGTTAAGTCGGCCGTCGGCGGATCCTTGGCCATGAAGCCACTCTTTTCAAACCAAGGCCTGCTCCTTGAAAAGTGTCGAGTGTTTTATGGATTGGCGACCTGCCTGTCACGAAACAGGAAAATTGCCTTGATTCTTCGCCCCGTCGAATGCAAAATGCTCTCATCCGCCACGCAAAAAAAATTGGCGTTAAACTGTTAAACCATTGGCTCCCATTCTCCGACAGACATTTAATCGTTCGACAAATCAATTAGAATTGTTTCCTAATCTGCATATTCAGACTGTAGCGATGAACTCGCAGTCATATTATCGACCGGTGCCCTTACTCGTTGTCTAATAACCCGTCACACTCAATTTACAGAATAATTGAACATTGTTAAACTGAGATAAATTAGCTTTTATTTCATAACTTTGAGAGGTTGATTAACTAACTCTATGCGTGGATCTTCTATGTCAAATCTCTGAAATTTATTATTACATTGTAATAACTTAAATTTGCGTATAGATTGTAACATGCAAATCGGACAAAATTGAATTGATAAGGATCTACATTTCATTAATACACTTGGTCTTGCAATTAACGTTAATTTAATTACTACCCATTACTTCGCATAGCCACTCATTAACTGACGCATTCCCAGGGCCATTTAATCATTCATTCCTAAAATTCATTCAATCGCTCAGCCCTTTAAATAGAAATATTAATAGGCAAATAAAATTCTTCTATTTTTATGTGAAATATTTTACTGATGTCTATTAGTATTGGAAAAAAGTTCTTTCTGCAAACAAAATTTGCAAAAAAATGAAATAAAAGATGGTACCTGTATGTCCCACAATCCAATCGGGAAAAATGTGAAAACCAGCCAACTTATCGAGCATAGGTGCATAAACTATGTTTTCCTTTGTGTGGGGCTGTCAATTCCAAAGTTTTTCTATTATTACTTGCTAATTAGTGACCAATTCTAAAATAAATAACAAATCTATATATCCGGCAAGTTTTTATTTTCAAGAAAATACAGAGTTAAATGAACAG